TCTTGAAAACTAAAACACAGAGCAACTGACGCTCGATATGAAACAGGAGTTGTTCTAAAATGTTATAACACTTTGGCTAGAAGATGTCTTATCAAGAATATCAGTGCATCAATATCTAATAGAGATCAAATCCACTTACTTGTCTTTTCAATACGTATCAAGAGTATTAATATATAAAAATCAGTATAGATCAAGTCAATATATATGACTCCACTAAACTGATCAAACGTATCAATATATCAAAAGCCAATATAGATCAAGCTAATTTATGTGACTTCAAAAAACTGATCAAAAGTATCATTATATCAAAGGCTAGTATAGATTAAATCAATTTACGCGACTTCACAAAACTGGTCAAGAGTGTCAATATATAAAAAGCCAGTATACATCAAATTTATGTGTCTTTAAAAAACTGATCAAATATATGGAACAGAGGTTAACATGCCAGGCTGTGGATCGTCAAGTTCAAGGATCGTGCGGTGATATGCTGCTGAACACGCTTCTCTGTTTCAGGTATGGGAGCATAATGATCATATAGTGACTGATGGTTTGCCGCTCCTAGCCGTAAAAACACGCTCCGCACTTTGGAACCGTGGTTGTGCGATAACAGTAACGATTAAACCACATTGTGCAATCATAGAAGAGTAGGCCAAGAGTTGGCGGTGGGCGCTGTTGACACTACCTTCCTTCTAGTTTGTAATTTCAATATTAGTTACACCAGTTACCCTTCGGTCCATTTGTCTTACAAGATGCCGTTCAGGTTGAATATACCAAATACCAAGGTTATTTGTGAATAAAGTTTTGTTAAATGAAATAACAACACTCAAAATATAACAATAGAGCACTTAAAAGGAAATATAATGTTTTATTATAACAAAAAAAGAACCAAGTGGGTGATCATGACTTGCCAAATTGGCAGTGTATAAGAATCTGGAGACAAACAAACGAGAATTACCTCTAGACGGCGCTATCTTTGTTAACTGTCCAAAATTATAGGTTGAAAACTTGTTTGTTGTATCACTCAATTCAGAAATTGCTCCAAAAGAGTGTTTTTGTCAGAAAACAATAAGCGGGGTATGACAATATATCTAGAACAGCGCAAACATCCTCAAATTTTAAACAGCAACTATTAATTACCTCCGATGGATGAATACAATTCACACATATCTATCTAGTTATCTATGTCTGGTCTATAACTAAAGAGGAGAAGGAATCAAACACAAATATCAAGATAAAATGGCCAGATAGAATTTTTTTAAATAATAATTTGGTCAGTTCTAGTCTTTTTTTATTGCGCAAATGCAATGGAAGTTTAGCATACTCGATGTCTAGTACACTCTGTCACGTCTTAAGTTTCTTTCTATTAATTTGTGAGATTTTATTGTTCTTTTCTTAGAGCGTTGTGCATCCGCGCGGCTAGAGCATGGAACGCAGCCAAAAAAGGAAAATAAAAAAAAAGGTGTACAAAGGAATACTACAGTTTTTGTACTAGTAGTTCTGATGAAGCCGCAACGGCGAAACGTTGGCTACATGGAGTAAAAAGTTTTCGTTATCATCTCTAGAATAAAGTTCCTTCCTTTTTTCCTAATTTTATTGCCAAAAATTCCATCCATGGTTCAAAGCGTAACTGCATAGCGATATAGACGATAGTGAAATATAACCACAAAAACTAACGCTCCATTATCTCGCGTTCAACCTGTAATAAAACCCTTGTGATTAACAAGCGCTTAATTGGTTGATCTCGTTAAATTAAAACTTGTTTCACATTGTTTTTGCTTCGTAGAACATTAAATTAAAATTTTAAATGATAATCAATTTGAAAACGACACTGTGCGGTTATATTGTTTTTAACGATACAACAGTCAACCCGTTTCTTTGTCGTGGTTAATTGTGATGCTACATATAAAACAGGAAACAAAAATAGGTTTTAAAGAACTCTAGGATTTATCAGTATTATATACAATATATTAGAAACATCTAAATTAATTGTAGATAAAAATAAAGTATATTTAACTAATATCTATTTATAGCTAGAGTGATTTAATCTCATCGTTCTTTGTAAAACATCATCTTATTCGGAGCTGGCAGGCTCGAACCAGTGCAATACCACAAAATATTCTACGCACTTTAAGCT